TACCTACTCTATGTAAAGAAAGCCCTACGGACTTATATGGCCATGTGTTTTGTTGGGGAATGATAGGACTATATATTATGTTAATAGGAAGTTTAATTATTTATCAACTTCGTTCAATTTTTTGGTTAAAAAATTATAATGGACAGCAATCAGATAACAAAAATATTGAGCTCAAATCCCTACACAAACAAAATCTTCCAAGGATGCTTTCCGTGTAACAATCTACCCAAACCTGTAGAAGGCAAAGCCTTAATTGTAAACTTGGACCCCAAAGGATTTGCAGGTTCACATTGGATTTCAATTTACGTTCAAGGAAATGAACAAGTAGTCTATTTTGACAGTTTAAATTTACCCACAAGCATTTGTATTATTGATTCATTTTTAAAAGATTTTTCAATTGTTAATAGAAACCTAAAACCATACCAATCCCTAAATTCTAATTATTGTGCCCACCATTGTATTTCTCTTATTTATTTTCTTTCTAAAGGCTATACATTTCCCCAATATCTTGAAATGTTAAACATTGTTCATAACCCAGATTTATTTGTAAAAAATATTGTGAATAAAATTATAAATTATCGAGATAGTTTTTGGTAATATCAGCACATTCTGGACAAAGATAAAAAGCGTATGAAAAGGATTTTTCATCTTTGGGTATCATTATATCATCTTGAAATTGGCTCACGACAAAGCTAAGGCAGTCATCACACCATTTTCCTGCGCGAAAGTAATTGATAAGGATGCAAAGCCTTGCTCCCATATCAAGTTGAATGTGTTGTTTTAGAGCATCATTGATTGAATGCACATAGGTTCTTATTTTAAATTCACGATACTCGCGCACACCCTTAACATACTTTATGATTTCGCCACTTTCTTCACTCATCAATGATTTTTATTTTTATGTGGAATTTATTAAATTAGGTCGCAACTGAATAAAAATAAAATTAAGCCACGCCCTATTTAGATGAATATATAAACTCAGAAAAATTTCATTTTTCATTTCAAACATTCACAATGGTTCTTGTCATAGATGAAATTGCACGTTTTCTCGACTGTTCAGTCCGAAGTCTAAGTTGTCATCTAAATGTTCCTGAGACAAGAATCCGTATATTAACAAAATTTTTAGACCGCAAGGTCCGCACGACATATTTGAATAGAGATTTGGAAAAGAAAACTTTTTTATTTGGAGGTCTCACAAGAAAGGGTGCCAATAAAATTCGCGCCTATGGACCTTTAAGACGACCCTATAATGTTAGCATTGCTCAACATTTTTATACAAGACATCGAATTCAACTTAAATATCCTTACCTAAATTGTATTATTGAACGACGATTCTGGGATAAAGATCGATTTTATCCTATTGAACTATTGGAATTTGTTGATGACGAAGAAGAGCAAAGTAAAAGTTTATCAACTGAATTTGAGGAAAAGCTTAGTATCTCTTCGCCACCCGATAGCCCTGAAATAATTATGGATAAAGAATTTGAGGAAGAGATGGAGATGTACAGAGGAGATTTTAGTCAAGATGGTTGGTGAACGCACACCCTCAACACACACGCGCCCTCTACACACGCACGTCTATCACACAGTGAAAAAGATGGAAATTGATAAATTTCATCTTCTTTTCCTTAATTATGTAATTTTACCCCTAAAATGAACAACTCCTTTTCCTTAATTCTGAAATATACTACTTTGTTTCACTAATTATGTAAAATCTCCCCTAAAAACTATGTCTTCATTTTCATAATTTTTTAATATTTTCAAATTTTTATCTTTGTTTTACTAATTATGTATTTTTACCCCTAAAACTTGTAACTCCTATTTATAAATTTTTTTCAAAATTGTATTTTAAAATTTTATTAAAAATAAAAATTATTTACAAAAATTGTGAATAAAATATTTACAAAATTTTTACAAAAAATAGATAAGAATAAAGAAATAAATAAGATAGGAGTGTGGCTTCGCCATTCGACAGGCATCACCAAACTCAACCAGGGACTTGAGAATTTACTCAAGTCCACTACCACCGATTTTACATGTGAGGATTCCTCACAACATTACGATAGTTGGTATAGAGTTTGGGTGCCCATACCCCTGGCTACTTTCCAACTCCTGTAGAATTCACAGCAAAATTCGAGGATGTTTGTCATTAATATGACCAAAATTAAGAACAACAAAATCGGAAGGGCGGACAATGCCTTTTCCTACATAAGGCTTATAAATTTTAGTGAGGGGTTGAGTAGTTATGGAACCATCTTTAATCGATGGTCTAAGAAAATTTGGGTACTTAATTAAAAGGGGGATATTATCACAATTAATAAAGTCAAAAACTTGCTTCTTGAAGTTTTCATAGCACAATCCTTGGTTGTTGATCACATCCCAGTTCAGCGTCATCCCACGGACTTTGAGAACGTAGTCATATTCAGTGTTGGGAGTAGTCTTCTTTTGAAGTTTCAATCCATATTGCTTGGCCCCTCCAGAGCAGTATTCCAAGATGTTGAAATCCGGGTACTCATCTGTAAATTGACCCAGATGAGGACCAAGTTGAAGTGGACAGTTGTTGTCGGGGTGCGAGAAGATTAGAGAATCGGTGTCGGTGTAGAGTAACTGACACCCAGTTGTCCTCACAACCTTCTGCATAGCATGCAGAAGGTGGATCCTCGCTGCTGATGTAGTCCAGAGCGATATGATGACATTTGATGAGTCGTGCTCCTCCACCCAATCCTTCTTTTTGATGTAGTTGATGAGAATTACTTCTTCGGTAAGTTCATCTATTGAATTGATGGTGATTGATGGGTCGTCGCACATCTTGGCCAATTCATTTGGGTCGTCGGTAATCTTGCATTGCGAGAGGCCAAAGTTTCTTAGGGAGAATCTTCCCCATAAGTTGTTTAGACACAGTTTTGCTTGTGTCCGCTTCCCTTTGTTGGCTGATGTAGTCCAGAGCGATATTGTAGTCCAGAGCGATATTTACAATCGATTCGATCGAGGTGCATGTAGACACCCACCCTCTTCTCCCTCTCAATTTTAATTCCAAACATTTCCATACATTCTTCCATAAACTTATCTTCCTTTTCTATGTCATTTTTGATGGAGTTGTCGAAACCAGACGAGTGAATTTTTTGGGACATAAATTCACTGATGTAGGGGCTGAAGAGCTTGTCGTCGTAGTTTTTAAATTCCAGAACTCTGAAGAGTTTGGTGACCACATAACCCTCTTTGAGGGCTTCGTTCAGTTCGATCGAGGTGCATGTAGACACCCACCCTCTTTGTTGATCTGAATGGGGGCAGCAGTAATTTTCTTTAACATCCCCATGTGGATGTTCTCTAGCACATGTTGAGCATAAAGGGAAAAGTAGTCGTTCATCCTCATCTTCCCCAATTTTCATAGGTAAGACAGGAATATCAATAGTTCGAGGTGGGATGATAAATAATTTTAGAAGGGAGAGATTGAAGGTGTTGTCTTCTGGTTTTGTCCAATTGACATTTTTATTTATGACGTGAACTTCAGGATGTCCAACCGGGTACCGCGTTGAAACGTTAATAAAGGGGTACAAAGAAGTCACGTCGTAGTAGGAAATTTTTTCTCCTTGCTGTGCAGAATGAAAAAGCTTTAAAGGGCCAGTCCTCCCACCATAAAATGCCGACCTAATGTTGATAGGCCCATCATCCAAATAATTTTTAAACATTCTTCTCATCTCAAAATCTTTGGAGACCATTTTCCTAATTTCGCATTCCCAATAGACCTCAACATTTACCCCCAAATTCTTGATAAAGTTCAGACGTTGTTGATCTTTATCCCTTTGTTGACCTGCAGTAAGTCCAGTTGGAAGTTTTAAGTCGTCATTCGGATAACATTTGATGCACCCGTGCCAGCAGCACCCATTGACTTCAATAGCCAATTTCTTTTCTTTTATCCACCCATCCAATTTATAATTGCCAATTTTCTTCTCTCCATTCTTTGAGTGAGCTGTCCTAATAGTAATGTTGTTTTTCTCGGCATACCATTTAAGAAACCGTAGTGCCAACAAACTTTGGTTGTCGACGTTGTCGTAGCCTTTTTCAGGTACAATTCCAACATGTTGAGGTTTTAGATGATTCAGTCGGAAGTGTTTCATACATGCACTTGCAATTGTCATCGACTCTCGTAGAACATCCAGTCCATTAGAAACTTCCAGAAATTCTTTTCTGAAGGCCACAAGTGCTGCCATTAAAATATCCACATCATTTGTGCAGTAGGATGCAAGTTGTTCGTCGAGGAGAAAGGGCTCGTTTTTGTGTAAATCGAACCATTTATCAAACATTACCCGCTTCTCAGGCATCATTCCATTGCAAAGATAGTCTTCTTTTGTAGGGTATATTTCTTTCCCATAATTCTTTGGGTTGTTGGCCAGGTGAGGGAAGAACGGCTTGTCTTCCACTTGCAGTCCAAACGATGGCACAAGAGATGCCAGAGGCATCGGCATTAAATTGTAGGTGTCTCTGAAGATTATCCAGCATTTTTTAGCATTTTTCACCTTCATTTCATACATCTTGTTGCCTTTCTTAATCATATCTGGAGTTAAACCAAGTAGATACAGTTCCTTGAAGAGTAGGACCATGTCGAACCTTCCACCAAAATGCGAGAAGGCTACTGTATCAGTTGAAGCATTGGTGATCCAAGTTGCAAAATCGGTCAAGGGGTCATTGGTAATGTTTTGTTGATCAACTGTTGTATTGATGAATGGTTGATGGGAAAATGTAATTGTTTTATCTTTCCCACAAACTTTGCAATCGTTGTTCAATCCATTATTGATACAATCAGGGCAATTAATTTTTGTTGAAATGAAGTTGACTTCATGTAAATTACCCTTTTCTCCTTGTTTGTACTGCATGGTTTCAAAGTCGAAAGCGATGATCCGATACGGTTTTGACTTTTTGAGAGTAAGAGGTTTGATGAAGCAGCCTCTTTTAGGGTCGTGGTAGCTGAAGCAGTTGTTGCAGTAACGTTCTGAGCAAACATGACCAGTACGTCCATTTCTGTTGTTATCTTTTACATACCAAATCACTCCACATTTTTCACATTTTTTGGAGTTGTTGCAAAAATTAGAACTGATGTGATGGTTGAAGCAGTCCTCGTTGATAAATTCCTTAGAGCACCCATTACAATGTTTGAAGTAGTTATTCAAAGGGTGGCATGGGTAGTCGGGACCGATTCTGGAGCAATTGGGGCATCTTGCTGCACATGTAGTCGCATGATCCTTTGGTTTGTTGTAAATCATTTCACAGGCAAGGCAATATGGCTTACCGAATAGATCATTTGCCTTTCTTACTCCATCAAAATGATTATTATTAAAATAAAGAAGAATTGGAGTATTATAATTTTCTGCCCCATATTTAAAAATAGGTTTAACACCCAATTCTCCAAAAATAAAAACTTTAAATCCACCTCTATTCAATGAATTCCAATAGTCCACCACTTTGGGTACCCATTCCATTGCATCATAGGTAGGTTGATCAGGTGGAGCATTAATTTTATTCACCAATTCCTCTGCATCCTTCTCGAGTTGATTAGCCATACCTCTTCTGCTATGCATGTAATCATAAAATTTCCATTTTGGCCAAGCACAAGTGGAAAATACGAAAGTAGCAGATAGTGAACGAAATAAGCAATAGTTGTCAGAATTAATAATTTTAATAAAATTGTGTTGTTTAATTTTATGTTGTATTGTCGTCCCACTTCCTTGAATTACTTTTGTAGTTTGAAGATTTTTCTTATCAATACAGGTAACTGAAACATTAAATGGCTCACCCCAAAGCATGCCATTATCTTGCTTGTTTGATTGCGCCACCTTGAGGAATTGATTAAGTATAGCGTTGACTGTGTTGTTGTTGATATCCCTGATCGGGATCCAAATGTCAGTTTCTAGTAACTGACTACTTAATGTGCAGCCAAGTTGGTCAGGATCAAGCTGATGATCGTGGCTCGTTTCTAGAGTTTGGTCAATACATCTCTGAAAAATTTCCTTTAGTAATCCCTCTGGTTCATCGGGCAAACCAGATATTAAAAATTTAGTAGACAGTTTTGTAAGATTAAATTTCCGGGTGATTTTGGTTTCTTCACCAAGTTGTCTAACAAAATCACCTCCACCTGATTGTAAATCAAGTAGATTGTTGATCATGAAAAGGCGTGATCGCTTTGAAGGTGGAGAAGACATTTTAGGTTAGTAAAATAAATTTTTTAAATTATTTTAAGAATGAATAAAAATCCTAAAAACTCAGATTTATAAAGTACTTTTTATTTGACCAATTTTTCTATTTTCACTTTCACACGCCCACTTTTTGATAATTATTTCATAATATTTTTCAATGATCTATTTTTGACTTATTTTCACTTTTCAACACCTTTTTTATAAAATTTACCCAATTTTCAATTTTCAACAAGTTTTTACAATTTTTCTCGTGCATGACCTATTTTTGACCTATTTTTGCAACATAATTATTGCATGGCTGATTTATATATATTTTCACTTTTCACCGCCTACTTTTTAATAATTTTTGTGTTTTTCAAAATTAAGGGAAAAATGAATAGAAAAAAGAATATAGGAAAGAGAAAAAGGTTGGAAAGGTTTTTCTTTGATCATCTTTAAAAGTTCATACCGGTTTAAAACTACTACTTGAACCATTAAACCTCTGGGAAACATTTGATTATGAAATTTTGTAAAGATTGTGGGGAATAGTTTGGTAATGTGTTTTTCTTTTAAAAAGTTCACACTAAACCGGTTTGATCAAAGTACCCCTTAAACCTTTTGGAAACTCCTTGAAACCTTGACGACGGAGTGGTTGAATGACCGTTTAAAAAAGTGGGAGGGGCTAAATGGTTGGACCCCGCTGCCCCTGACGACCTCGTGTGGGTGTTAACTACTAGCAACGGTCCGGTTTTAAAAATTTGTTTTATTGGAATCCAAATTTTCGAATTTGCTTGATTTCCGCTGTAACGGTATTGCTCCGGAATTTCCGTTTCCGAAACAAAAAATTAGATCAGGTTCCGGCCGAATTTGCGTTCCTACGCAACACTACACTACAGCGTGTTGCCTCCCCCGATAATTATTCCAGAGACACTATGTCAAAAGACAATCTTCACTGCTCTAATACATATATCGGTTTCAGATCCGAATATCCGAACCTTTTATGTTTAGATAATTGTATATTTGTCTAGTTAATTAATCTACTTATTAACTCTCATATTTAAGCACTTACATAAACCAAAACAACCAACAAAGTAAGTAAATATTGGTGAAGAACAGTAGACAACCCCGTTTAAACTAAAAATTCCGATTGCAAAAGTTGGTAGCCAAAGAAATGCAATGTCCATTATTGAAAGATTAATTAACAGCAAATAGCAAGGATTTTTGTTTCTATTTTTCCAAAAAGAGTAGATACAAGGGAAATATAGAGGCTTAAATTTAAATTTTAGAAAAAATTTTTCAAGAAATTTAGTACATAATATATAAATCCAAGTATTATACAAATAATTGCAGCTATTGGATATCTTCTTTTTTCAATAGGAACATCATCTACATTAATTCCTGTACAATTATAAATAATGTCAAATTCTTTTCGATTCCACAAAATATATTCCATTTAAAAACCGCACTAAAATAAAACATACAAGATGAAAAATCAGTCTCAGACCCAGTGGGTGTAGGTCCCGAACATGAAGAAATGTTTTGGAACCATACCCCTACTTTGTAATACCAAGAAAAATCCAATTTTTTTTAATGTACTTATAAATTCAGATAGAACCATATTGTCTTAGTCTCAGTCAGAGCTGTTTCGAAATTAGGATTTTCGAGGTTTTTTAAGTTTCGAAACAGTTCTGGTCTCAATCTCCACAAAATTAAATCGCATTTTAGGGAAGACTGGGAAAATCCTTTTATATTTTATAAATCGTCGTCGTGCACACAAGCAATTAAAATGAAGCTTGTTATTATGTAATTATTAAAAAATGCCGTGACGCTCGGACTAATGTTCAGCCGTTTAGACACGTTAAGCCTTTTTGGCCGTGTAGTTGAGTTAAGGATTGGATGAGTTAAGGGGACACAATGTATTTATATGATTAAGGAATGGGCGGAAAGGATAATATTAAAAAATGACGCCCTAACAATTACACGCCCTAACAATTAGTACACATAAACAATTAAAATGAATCTGTTATTATGTAATTATTAAAAAATGCCGTGACGCTCGGACTAATGTAAAAAACAACATTTTAATGACTCATATTTCGAGCAAAAAAATTTAATTGTTAATAAATATTTTTAAATGAATTTGAAAGTGTGGAAATTTAGTCCCTATGTACTTTTAAATCAAGATTTTTGTACTTTTGATTGTCATATTGTCGAAGAGAACCGTGAATTAAAATAAAGCTAGTTATTATTAGAGTCCGACATTTTAGGCCCGAAAAATTGTGAAATAAATTCCTATTTTAGGTTTTTTGAGGTAGCAAAATGGGTTCAAAAAAATCAGAAAAAGGCCGAAATAGGTCCGAATTTTGAAGAATATGTCTGAATTTTTGAGTTACTTTTAGTGTTAAAGAAATAAAATTTTTGGAAAATTTTTTATTTAGAATAATATGTAGATAAAAATTTATAGAAGTAAATTTTATGGAAGTAAAATGACAACATCGAATTCTGTTAAATTCAGGATGACCCTTTCATTAACATTAAAATGTGGTTTTGGAACTTATCGCAATAGATTTCACATTAAGGGTTGCCTTTATTCGAATCAGGCCGACGGTCGAGGCATTTTTTTCAAATAAGTTAGGCCCGACTCGATCTTTCGGTCCGAGTCGGGTCATTTTGACAACCTTATTCACATATGAATATCACTCAAACAATGAGACTCATTGAAAAATAAAGGCCATAATAAACTTAGCTGAATTTTTGGCGCCGCAGGCGTCAAAAATTTTGAGAATTTTAGATACATTTTGCGGAAAAATTCACCTTTTTGATAATTCCCCTACTAAATTTTTTTATTTTCCGACATTTCATGGGGAAAAGATGAATATTTTTATTTTATTGCTTTTTTTCGTATAGTGTGAGTGAATTCATCTGCCTCCCATAAAAAAGTTCTCTTTTAATTTTTTGACAAGACCATGCTTCCCATACATCTTCCCATACAAAAACCATACATCTATTAAATCTGTTATTATAATTCCTCCATTTTAATAAAAAATGTTTGACAATTTTTATTTTATCTTTTTAAATTTTTTCTATTTTAAAATGATTATCTAAAAAAGTGAAAATTTTAGATGGTTGTTAATAAATATGTGCGCTTTTGAGCGCTTAAGAAGATAAATTTCAGTTTTACTGTACTCCTATCTATTTTTTTATTCAACGTTAGATCTTTTTATCTTGTTTTAAATTATCTTTGAAAATTTATCTTCATCATTAATTAACTCCATTATTCCAGGATTTGGGCGACTACTGTTCTTATTATAAATATATCTTTATATTTTTTAAAATTTAGAATTGAATTTTGGCACATAAAACTGCTTATAAATATATCTTTATTTTCTTTAAAATTTAGAATAGAATTTGGGCGCATAAAACTGCTTATAAATATATCTTTATTTTCTTTAAAATTTAGAATAGAATTTGGGCGCATAAAACTGCTTATAAATATATCTTTATTTTCTTCAAAATTTAGAATAGAATTTGGGCGCATAAAACTGCTTATAAATATATCTTTATTTTCTTTAAAATTTAGAATAGAATTTGGGCGCATAAAACTGCTTATAAATATATCTTTATTTTCTTTAAAATTTAGAATAGAATTTGGGCGCATAAAACTGCTTATAAATATATCTTTATTTTCTTCAAAATTTAGAATAGAATTTGGGCGCATAAAACTGCTTATAAATATATCTTTATTTTCTTCTAAATTTAGAATAGAATTTGGGCGCATAAAACTGCTTATAAATATATCTTTATTTTCTTCAAAATTTAGAATAGAATTTGGGCGCATAAAACTGCTTATAAATATATCTTTATTTTCTTTAAAATTTATAATAGAATTTGGGCGCATAAAACTGCTTATAAATATATCCTTATATTTTTTAAAATTTAGAATTGAATTTTGGCACATAAAACTGCTTATAAATATATCTTTATTTTCTTCAAAATTTAGAATAGAATTTGGGCGCATAAAACTGCTTATAAATATATCTTTATTTTCTTCAAAATTTAGAATAGAATTTGGGCGCATAAAACTGCTTATAAATATATCCTTATATTTTTTAAAATTTAGAATTGAATTTTGGCACATAAAACT